GCCTCATTGTTGTCTATATAAGGAGGCCCTCTCTTCCCAGTTGTAATTTCTCCCCAGCAGACTTCCTGCAGACATTTCCCCACATAACAGGCAAATCACTGCTCACTCCATAATATTATTTGTTCCCCAATATTTTGGTTTTACAATTATAACAACCCTTACATACAAATATTACAACATCTTTGCACATAACAACAACCCATTTTTGCACCTGTCCACCTGTTAAACAACAGAGTATCTTTTGATACACTCCACTATCACTAATTAAAAGCTGCCAATCTAAGATTGGTGGTCTTGTTTAGTGTAGTACACAGGAAAGGCAGAGGCTACCTCACACATCCCTTTACGAACTCAGCAAAAGGTTCTCACGAACACTTTTGAGCTTAACAGCGGAGCTCTGGGAGTGCTTATGCTTCAACCAGTAATGGTATGTGAGGCGGGTTATGGGCACTTGTAGAGATGGTTGCTTTGCATCCGGTGTGGTGTTCCAAACGGTACAGGCCCCCTCAAGGTCCAATTTCAGAATTCAATTTTCAAATTTTCAATATCCTCAAGACTCAAGATTTCAATATTATCACCTCAATCCCCACTCAGTCCAATGGTTTCCTTATTTTATTATTTTATTCCATTTCCTCTGATTATTTTATCTTTATATCATTTTTCATTCATCTTGATTTTATTTTTATTTTATCATTTTATCATTCTTTATTATCTCTTTCAAATCACCTACTCAGAAGACAGTGTTGTTTCTTATTTCTTGGTCCAAAGACATAGTTTCATTTATGTTGGTTTATTCTGATCTTGTTTGTTTGTTCTATTCTGTGTTCTTCTTTTGTTCTTTTGTTGTGTTGTGTTGTGTTGTCTTTGTTTTCTGGTTGTGTTGTGTGTGTTGTGTTGTGTTGTCTTTGTTTTCTGGTTGAGTTGTGTGTAGTTAGGGATGTGATGACATGTCTGTGACATGTCACTCCCCAGAGTCAAAGTTCAGTTTGAACTGAGATGATGGGGAAACAGGGCACTCTGATCTGATCCAAGATAGACCCATCAAATTTTATTGATCTTTTCATTCTTGATACTTCTGATCCTCCTACATAGTGGTTCAAGTTCACTCAAACTCAACAACCGCCACAGGAATCGATTTCTGTTGTCTCCTCTCAGAAAACCAACCAACCCCAACGCATTTTGTTCAGATCACAGCTCAATTTATCCGGACCCCACTTGAAGGCAGCCCTCAAAGCACCATCCCTTCAACCAACTGCCTACCACCTGGCACGATAGGAGTTCCACACCGGATATCCACACGGATGCGGATATCTCAGGATCCAAGTGGGTCGGGTTGACCCGCCAGGTACCTGTGACCCGGTGGGTCACGGGGCGGGTTTGAGCAGGCTAGGGTTGAAAATTGACCCGACCCGGATTCAACCCGACGGGTCGGCGGGGTGGGTATGATCAGGACAGATTGTATTTGGGCTGGCTTGAGATTGACCGACTGACCTGATTGAGAAGAATTAACTGAACATTTGCTGGGTTGACCCGGACCCGACCTGACCCAACCCAAGGCACTGTGTATCTGGGCCGGGTTTGTTCAACATTTTGCAATTTTTGCCCCGACCCGCCCGCCCCAAGAATTGGGTGGGGCCGGATTGGTCACCATTTTTTGACCCGAACCCGGCCCATTTGGAACCTGACGGATATCCGGCTGCTTTTTCCGGCAAAATAGCCATCCGCACCCGCTGGTGGGTATCCATCGGCTGCAGCGGGTATCCATGGATACCCGCCCTTTAAACAGCTGGAAGGGTTTCCTTCCAGCCGGCAAGGTACATGCTTGACGGCTGGAAAGATTTACTTCCAGCCGGCAAGGTACATGTACCTCGCCGGCTGGAAGGGTTTCCTTCCAGCCGGCAAGGTACATGCTCGACGGCTGGAAAGATTTCCTTCCAGCCGGCAAGGTACATGTACCTCGCCGGCTGGAAGGGTGTCCTTCCCGTCAACAAGCTACATGTACCTCACCAGCTGGAAGGAAATCCTTCCAGTTGACAAAGCACATGTACCTCCCCAGCTGGAAGGGTTTCCTTCCTGTTGACCAGGTGCATGGTTCATGCAAATCAAGCCCGGAATCACTCAAGTTATAGAGCCCATTCCTACTAATTTGACAAGAAATTAATTTGCAACCATGCATGCAAACAAAAAATTGTAAATCCGAGGATAAATGGAGCCTATAGTCCCACTCTCTGGCAGCACCCGGGTCTGTAGTTTTTTTCCATCTCCTAATATTTGTGGAATTGGCACAACTTACACCACTTGCATGCTGCCAATAAATTGGTTGCAGAAGCTAAGGGAGGTGTTAATGAAAAACTGACAGTTGGGCCAGTGGCCTATGGCTATGAAACATACCAAAAGTTTCAAGAAAGATTCAGCAGCTTGATAGCTAGGTAGCAAGCAAAATTAAAGAGGGGAATTTATAACTTGTTTTGGCATCAAGTCACAATTGATGGAATTGAATTTTCCTTTAAGGGTTGGGCTGATATTCAAAAGGAGCACTTTTTCAACTAACAACATTTTTTTGGCTTTTTGTTGCTTGAAACCAAAAAAATCACAAATACCCAAAACTTTAAAAAAAGAAAATCTGATTCCCAGGACCAAAGGATATTATCAAGACTTATTCATGAACATTTCAAAGAACAAGAATAAAAATTTCAAATCAGTAAGCACTTAAAGATCCAAGAGCAGCAAAAAAAAACATTGAAAGCCACATGTTGATCTTCACATAAAAATAAAGATAAAGAAAACAGTTCTTTTGATTTGGGTGGGATACTATAGATTTGATTTGATCTTGTAATTTATCTTTTGAGTTTTCATTGGATGTATCCAAGAAATTTATATCAAATCTAACTCCAAAAAATCAATTTGAAATAAAAGCAGTTGAGAAATTGATATTTGAAAACAAAAAGACAAGATGCTGATTTGGAAATGTATAGGGTCCATAGGAGAGGATCCTAGTTGAATAAAGCTTTTCTGGCAGCCTTGACTGTCTTGTCTCTTGGGCCCATGGTATCAAAGCTGATGAGGGGGTTTTTTTTGGGAGTAAAATCAGGTGGCTAAATTTTATATTATTTTCATGCAAGACTTGGCTGAAAATGAAAGACTTACAATACAACACCTCCCAAGCCCTTTGATTTTGCATATTTAACTTTAGCCAAAGTGCTTTGGGTATCATCATAACTTATCATAGTAGTATTTCTTGCAAGGAATGGCTGAGAGAGAAGAAAAAGTGAGCAGGAATAGGAATGAGAACAGTGATCAGTTATTTCAATTGATTTTTTATTCATGTGCCTCTCACAAATAATTGAATTACAAACTTGTCCTGAGCAGGCATCATAATATCTGGTGAACCCTTTCATTCCATGCATTTCATCCTTGCTTAAGAATCCATCTTGAACTAACTCTTTGACAAGCCAAATCCCACCCCAGCCAGTTTTCTTTCCACAATCATCTACACCAGGCTCATCATCCCATTTCCCTCCCGGCTAGAATGATAAAAGATTAACATCAAAACTTACATGATTCTAGAATTAAAGGGTTTTGCTTAATGACTGACTGGAATACCGGTGTAGTTCTGGTAATAATAACTTGTGTACTCTCCAACCACTTTGGGTGTGAGTTCTGGTTGAGCCAAAGTCCAAGACTTTCCAAATCCTGGGATGGCCAAACTTAATTGCTCTGGTTTGAAACCTTGCTTGAGGTAAACTTCAATTGCATCCTCAACAGATACCTTGTTTTCTGAATCTGCACATCTTGAGCTTATTGGTGCACTTGGCCCAGTAGTCTTGGTGGAGCTTCCATAAACTGGAAAAAGGACCAAAATTAAATAAAGTTAATCAGTGATCCTCATACTAGTTGCAGATTTCATTTTTTGCCTGGTGGCTTAAAACTTACCATCATGTGCTAAAATTCTCCTTTAATATTCCACAAGTGATAGTTTGAGGAGGATAAAAATTACCAATTGAAATCTGATTTCATTTCAAAAAATCTTATAGATTTAAACTTGTCTCAAAATATGACTTACAATTCATCAACCACTTCAGCCATTAGGGTAAGATCGGAGGATTTCAATTCTTGGTAGTTGGAATTTCTGATACCTGAAGGACTCTGGGCAGCAGACAGCTTTCCTTCAGGCCATTTTTGTTTAACTTCCTAGAATGATCAGTACAAAAAAATATATTATATATATATAAATGAGTCTTTGCAAGGTCAACTTTGTCCTTTTTCTTTTGTCTTTTGCTCACCTTGAATAGAAGTTGTTGGTTCACTACATCGTTTTCACTGATTGTATTGCACCCTAGTCCTTGACTGAGAATTTGAGTTGATCACTTTTCAGTTCTCAATCCTCAAAAACTACAGTTTGAATTGAGTTTGTGGCCGATTTAGAAAGAAAAACCTACATGCTGGGGTCTTTTCATTAAACAGAGGAAGTAATAAATATGAAGCCATATTTTCAACTTTTCTGTAAATAAGCAACAGAAAGGATGTATCAAAAAAACTTACAAAGCCAATCAAAATCAATCCCTTCAAACCCATATTTCTTGGCAAAACTGATGGTTGAATCTGCAAATGCTGTACGGTTTTCTGCAGTCGCTGCAAGTGAAGAAAAGTATCTAAGAATGGTTTGATTAAGATTAAACAAATCTCAGTGTTGTGCACCAAATTTATGGTTCACATTAATGAGATCTGCAGGTGAATGTCTTACTTGGAGCCACACCAGCCACCTACAGAATACATAGGCCTAACAGAGTCTGTGAAAAGACAAGAAAGAAACAATAAAACAATCAGTTGATTGTGAACACATTGAATTAAGGATCAGTGTGTTTTTAATTATAGAAAGAAACATCTGAGTGCTTACAATTTTTACATGTCTTGACAAAGTCAGCAGCCAATTCACCCCATTCACTCTCTGACATATAATCAATTCCAAGTGTGAAGTTTTGAGTAGTTGATGTTGCAAAGAATATGATTTCATCATAAAGGTCTGTCATTTATAGATAGAGGAAGGATTTTCATGGAGGGAAACTGATTAGATAAACTTTCACTGGTACTAGAAGTAGCACAATGAAAAATCTCAGATTTTGAGATGAGCACTGACCATATCTAAGCTCAGAGAGTGGTTGCCCCTTAAAATTGTAAACAGGGTAATATCCAGCAAGGTTTCTTTTTCCAGTCTTTTTGGTGTTGATATTGCTCCCTTTTGACTTCATGGTATCATTGGTGAGATTTCCAGCTGTCACATTTAGCTCAGCAGAATTACTGTGTGATTTGGAAGAAGAGAAAGACCAAGATGATTGCATAGTATGATTGGAGGGATTATTGATGGTGACATTTACCTCACTATATTTATTGTGAGATTTGGAAGCAGAGGAAGAAGAAGTCCAAGAAGATGTTATGGTACTATTGGAGGGATTCCCAGAGGCAAAATGTGCCTCAGTAGATTGGTTGTGAGAGTCAGAAGAAGAGGAAGAGGAAGACCAAGAGATGTTGATGGCATTTCTAGGTGTCTGGCTTATTGCCTGAGCTGGTAGACTGATGAGAAACACTTTCAAGAGTTGCGAAACCATTCCGAAACAGAGTGTTGATTGGCGGCCCCAATTATGAATCTCTGGAGACTGGTGAATTGATTTTGGACAGATTCTAGCCCTTTTTATGTTCAACCTGAGGAACCACAGGTAATCTCTTGCCTGATACCAATATAGATCTCTTGTTTTGTAAGACAGGGTAGAGATTCTAGTTGTAATAATTGTCCCAACTGATGTACATATCAACCTACTTTCTCCGGTCATCAAACGGTCTTACCTCAAGGAGGCCATCACACCTGTCACTTGAACCTTAACCTTTACTGTATGTGTAATTGGAACTCGGTGATGATCACCGGCGAGGTTCCCTTCTATCTAGACAGAACACCTACTGGCTCAAGAGCTGTAGTATAAGATAGCTGAGCAAGGCCATGTTTGGGGCAGGGCATGTCTTGATTATCTGCTTGCTATGTATGAACTTGCCGATCAAGAAACCACTTTGCTTCTGGAGACTCCCATCGGACAAATCTGTCTCAGTCGGGAGTTTTCATCGAGCCCCCAAGACTGTCATCCAAACACGTCCTTTCTCGACCCCTCCAAACTGTGGAAACATAAATATCTTGAACGAGACCAGTTCTAAATGAATTTATAAAAATACAGTAAGTCGTGATTGGAGCAGATGTCGCAGAGGATTTGTACCAGCCAAAGGACACCGGTCAATCTGCGCAACCAGGCCCATTAACTAGAAGTACTAGAAACCGCTATCTCAATACAGTTCATCCCGTCTAAAATTTCGACTGGCTCACGTGTAGATGTGTTGCTATAACTAATCACGCTTTTTTAGACGTATTGCTAACACTAATCACGCCTTCTTGTAGTGTCAGCCAAGAATAAAAGAATACCGTAAATCTGCTCCCAAAAGCATGAACAAGGCCGAGAAAAACTTGGAAGCCATCGGATCCTTTTTCGAGTTTCCTTTGCTGAAGAAAATCAGAAGCAATATTTGAAGTTGCTTGGTGAAAAACCGAGATGATGAATCTGACTGAAGCAGTGACGCTTTGAATCTTCGAATGATCGATTTCTGCCATTTTTGGACTGTGCTCTGACTCTGCGCACGAGCAGGAGCACGCGCACCGAACTACTAAGCTTGCTGTTCCTCTCTTGTGGAGCCTTGGAGCAGCTCACAGCACGCAACCATCAGCTTGACCAGCCTGCTGCTGCTGAACTTTCAACATGCATTCCAACCAACCAAACTCATCCTCAACCGAAACAACACAAAAAGATCAAGAGTTGAGCAGTCAGATGAATCATCATCAACGTCCTCATGATAAAAAGAAAACAAAACAAGTGAACTGACTGTCATTTATTTACTTGTCCTCATCTGAAACAGCTACGTATATTTCAGCCGCAATCCATCTCAATTCTCTAAGCCGATTCTGGAGAAAACTACGGCTTGCAAATTAAAAATCGAACATGTTTACCGAAAAGCAGTCGAGGAAGCGATCGAACGTAATCAACGGTTAGTCATCTCAATCTCAAACTAAAAAAAAGAAAAGCATTCTTGCTCGAAATCATCAACTGAACATATAATATAATCAACCGGAAAACCCCAGTCGCCAAGAATTAGAAAAGAAGATAGCAGCAGATCCGACGATCACAGAAGAACGAAAACAGAGACAATTAGCTAACTTGGGTCGAACAGAATCTAGCTTCTTAAGGTTAAGGAGGACTAGATTAGGATTGACCGACTTTAGAACGGTTAAAGTGATCGGAAAGGGGGCCTTTGGTGAAGTTAGATTAGTTCAAAAAGTGGATACTGGGAAGATTTATGCTATGAAAACCCTCAGGAAAGCCGAAATGTTTAAGAAAGATCAGGTTGGCTATTCATCAATCTTTCTTTCCATCGTTTTTCTTTTTATTCAATCTAATTTACCCAAACGCACTCAAAAAAAAAACACTCAAAGACTGAACAGTTATATACACGCCTCTTTTTTTTAAAACAAATCTAGTTGGCTCATGTGCGGGCAGAACGAGATGTATTAGCTGAATCGGACTCACCCTGGGTGGTTCAACTCTACTACTCCTTCCAAGATTCTCAGTATCTGTATCTGTTGATGGAGTTCTTGCCAGGCGGTGATCTGATGACGATGTTGATTAAATACGACACCTTCAGTGAAGACGTCACGAGGTTTTATATGGCCGAATGTGTTCTGGCTTTGGAAGCGGTCCATAAACTCGGTTTCATTCACAGGTACGAAATCAATTCTCAAAAACCACCGATGTTGTAGTTTTTCGTTAAACTTATCCATGACTTTGTTTTATCATTTCTAGAGATATCAAACCTGACAATATTTTGATCGACAAAGATGGACATGTGAAACTTTCAGACTTTGGTCTTTCGACTGGGTTCCACAAACAGCATGACTCAGCGTATTATCAAAGTTTATTAGAGGGGGACAATTCGACGAGTGGGGCTGCGGCGGCGCCGAACAGGAATTCGGTCGCGATTTCCTCGATCAATCTGACGGTGTCCTCGAAGGATCAAATCGCGACCTGGAAGGCCAATCGAAGAAAACTGGCTTTCTCGACCGTCGGTACTCCCGATTATATTGCCCCCGAGATCTTCCTCCAACAGGGTTATAATAAGGAATGCGATTGGTGGAGTCTCGGAGCTATCATGTTCGAATGCTTGGTCGGATATCCTCCCTTCTGTTCTCCCTCTGCTCACGAAACTTATAGGAAAATCATCGATTGGAGACACGAACTCTATTTCCCTGATGATGTTCACCTCTCTAGAGAGAGTGAAGACCTCATTCGAAGGTTTGTGTTTTTTCATCTTCCTGGGGAAACTAAAACCACTTTCAAAAAAACACATACTGACTCTCCCCTTCTTCATGACAATAAGATTGATTACATCGGCTGATCATCGTTTAGGGAAAAAAGGAGCTGAAGAAATCAAGGATCATGTATTCTTTTCAGGAGTAGATTGGACGACGATCCGAAACATAGAAGCGCCTTTCGTACCTCATTTGAAGTAAGTACTCTTATTCTCTGCTGGCCGAGGGTAAAAAACGGATTCATTGAGTGCTTTTGTTAATTCATGGTTGATAGATCGGTGACCGACACAAGTTACTTCCCAACCGAAGATTTGAATGATGTACCAACTGAACCTGTTGGAGCTGATACAGATACTAGTAGCAAGGATCTGGCCTTCTTAGGCTACACCGTATGTCCTTTCACTCTTCCTGCCCTCCTCATTCCTTTTCGTCTTTTCTAATCGGTTGTTTCTGCTCCTTTTTCTTCTCTAGTTCCGACGCTATGAGAATTCTGGGGCAGGTGAATTCTAGGTTTATCGTTTCCAATAACCTCTGTCTTTTTATTTCCTTGACGGAGATCAATCGATCCTTTTTTTTCTTCTTCTTCTCCATTTCCATCTCCTTATGATATGTTCGTTTGTAATATATGCCATATCACTGTTCTCAGTATCAAATTTTTCCTTCCTTCTTTCTGACGATTTTTTATCTTGACATCTACACAAACAGAAAGAGAATAAATACATAAAATTTGCATCTGATTAATTTCTTTCTTTTTTTCCTCTGCTTGAAATAATCCAAACTAAATCTTGCATTATTACCAGAACATATTAAGATCTTGTGAAGAAAGTTAGACTGGGTTAGTATAGTATAGATTTAGCAAAGTGGTCTATTATATAGAGAAACTCCTGTTATATTTTCAAAAAAAAAAAAAAACTCTTATTTACATTTCTCATCCTTTCTTTGAAAATTTTTGTTCTCTTAGTGCTGCATTTCAAGGTTTACATGGTGTGAATATATATATATACGTTGTTTTTTTCTCCTTTCTCTTCTTTGTGAATCAAACGTTACAGGTAACATGAATCGCCAGCTCTCAAATGCGCAAGGAAGAGGTGAAAAAATGGTAAGGTAGTTATAGCTGAGTGGAATTGGCTCCACACTAGCCCCCCACAAGTTGGGCAACGCCAACCCAAAACCTGAATGCCTGTATCAGACTCGACTCATGAGCAAACTTTGACCCGTAGGTTTTTTTTTTCTCAATTGTGAAATAACAGATGTGGGTGTCGTCCCTATCTTTACCCGTCAACGAGGCCTTCCTGACGAGCTGGCATGCAACCAGCTCTCAGAGCAAGCCTCCTCCCCGGCAGACACTGGACCATCTCATTGATGAATTCCACTCATGCCATGCCAGTTACATATCAGCTCGCCAAGAAAGCCTCCTTGCGGGCGTTTCTTCAGGGAATCATCGTCGACCGTCGGTTAGCTGATAGAGCCTGTCCCCGCTCAGGTCTCAGTGCAAAACAGTGGCTTGAGAAGATGCCTTATACAGTACCAGCTCTTGGAGAGAATCGTCCCCGATGAGCTGGTAAAGGCAAGCCGCCGGGGAGGACTCCTCCTCGGCACCGCCGCCAGCCACCGCACAGGAATCCGACTCAATCCCGTTTTACCAGAGTTTGTTGCCTCAAGATGATACATCACACACTATTCAGATGGATCTCTTCATCGCACACCTCTTGCAACTAGTTGGGGTTGATGTAGCATCCTTAAGTACAGCATGTTGGTGCATGGCAGACAAAAGAAATCCAGGGAGCGAAGCTAGGCACAAAATTGATCTGTATCCATTCTTTAGAGCCTCTTGGTTTCAAACAAGAACTGATCATTGCCTCAGAATTACTTTACGGCAAATACTTATCCTTCAATTCAATACATCCCTTTTCAAATGCCTTGATCCCGATGGTATGTCTTTTACCAATGATGACCAGAAATACATGCACTCTTTCCTTTTTGCGGGGCTCCTCTGAGCTCCATTTGATTAGTTCGAAATGGCACTGTTGTTGTTCTTCATCCCGGGAGCTTGAGAAGTTGAGAGTGAGGCGCGTCATCTCGATTCCATATACTTGATCCATTAGAAATTGTACAATAGTTATCGACGATTGTCAATCTTTAGGCATTGAATTCCTCATCAATTATTGATCACTTTTGTGATGATAACATCTCTCTAGTCAACTTCATCTTATTACTGATTGTTAAGAGTCAAATATTCCCAAATAGATGGTCTCTCTTACTCTTACACTCAACCTCACATACAAAAATTCACGATTGATTTTCTTCCTCTAACAACAGGATTTGGAACAGTAAATATAACATAACAGTTGAAAAGTGGGTAAGGATCAGCGTGTCGACGCGTTTTGCTGCTTCTTATACTACTAGCACTCTTTCTGATCCACAAGCAAGGTCCAGAAAAACTGGGATTCAGGGATGTGTTATGAAACTAATCGAGTTCTTGATTAGTGCTGCGCGTATGGCTACAGGTTGAGCCCGCAACAGGACTGTTGGATCAATGGGAAGGTTGACGGGAAATGTACTTCTTTGGTCTTGCATTCATTTCGCAAAACACGGCCTACCCACTAAGACTACGTGTTGTTTGGAGTGACAACGCTCAACTGATCGGCCTTTGAGATAAAATAAATGCTCCTCAGCTCGAGATTGCAATCGTGCTGTATGTTCCTTCTGATGTTTCCAACGGCAGCACAACAGCTGTTTCTACAACACAAGTGTCGTTACTATACCGCAACGGCTGTTTCTACAACAGAGGTTCCCTTTCTACAACACAACTCTGCCCTTCCACATAGTTTGACGACATAGCCTCAACAATCAGTCTAATTCATAATTTTCAAGTTTCCAACGCGAGCCTCAAAACAAAACATGAGCTGAGTATACATAATGAGTGAGCAGAGTGAAGTTCTGAATGAGCATTCGGCGGTTAGCGTACACTGAGCTGCAAACTGGGCCATTGCTCGATGATAAGGTTTGTAGAAATCGTAATCCCTTTGTCTTGAAGTTTGATTCATTCCTTTAAGAAATTGGAGCCCTGAATTGATCGGCCGTTGAGCAAACATCAAATATTTCTGAGCAAAGCTTGTTTCTATTCAATACACCCTCAGCTGAAAGACTCAACACTGTCGTGTCTTTGTTCTGAACTTGAACATTTCTACACAACGGCTGCCTTTAACAAAGGCTTTGCCCTTAACAAGCATTGAATTCAATGAGCCAAAGACCATTGTCATTGCTGCACCCCGATCACAAAGGCTACACAACAGCCAAGCTGTAAGATGCTTGGTGGGCTCAGCGGCTGCAGTATTCCCTCTCATAAAAGAGCAGCTTGGTGCTGCCTAATCGCTTCTTTCCCCCCATTACTTGCTGCCTGCTTTCTTCTCACTCACGCCCAACCCTTATCCACCCTTCCAAGACCTCTAGGTATAATCCATCGACTTACTTGTCTGAACCCTCATATTTACTAGCTGCAGTCTCAAAAGGATCCCGAGTTCTGACCTGCTTCTTGACCGCGTTTCCTTAGCTTTATAAACTTTTCAGTTCAACTCGCTGCACAATTCAAGATGAAGGAAAATAATTCCAATGATCATATAGGCGAGGGCAGCATTCCAGCTGCTGGTGATGGTGTGTTCCCGTTGACTATCATGCACGCAGCACTATTCTAATTGTTTCTTTGCAACAAACCACTTCTTCTAGCTCTGCCCATCCCTTCCGAGACCGCTGCAGCGGGCTCTGTCAGCCCAGGTATGCTAGCTTCAGTTTCTCATAATAATGTTCTTGATTCCTTCTTGACGACCTTCCTACCACCCCTTTCTTTCTCATCTCTGCATCTGATCCAAAATAAAAGAGGCCTACGGACTCAGTCTGGAATATCAACCCATTGACGAGAGTGAGTCTTTTCCGGCTCTCATTGCTTTTGATGTGCACATCGCTGATCAACTATCTATATCTACCAATAAAAATTCCAGTTCTTGCCTCGCTTCAAAACTACACGGAGGTTACTCCCAACTCCGAGGCACAATACAGCCTCGAATTAAATGCCCTATTTGCACACGACCGTCAATGTGAGTTGGCAATGGCCTCAATACTTCCGGAAGACAATACTAACGTGATGTCTGGATATCACTCAGTGCATCGAAAACCAAGGTGTGTTGGTTTTGAATTTGAAGAATCATCTGACGCGATACTCATGCGATATCATTGACTGAAGGGCTCTATCGAAACCGGGCTGGTCGAAATGGAATGGCTACATTCCGAGGTAAGTGTATTTCACGTTTTGCTAGGTCTCAAAAGGAGAACGAGACACTGATCTGATGTCTGACCATCCGATCCTTCCAGGCCCTACTAAACCTCTCCCACACCCGAAAGTAGCTGCACTTCGCCGACGCGGGAAGCGCGATGGACGACGCAAAAACCGAATGCCACCCAGCGGAGTCGGAACGCCGCCCAGACCCAGAGGACGAGCCCAGGGAGTTCTTGGAAGACGTGGGAGGGATGCCGCGGATGATGCGGACGAACATGCCAGGCCGAGGAGCAGGATAAGGCTGGCTTGAATGAAGAGACAGTGCCAATCTCAATCATTGTGAGTCTCTTTCCTTATTTTCACATAAACATGAGGATACTCAAGTAACTGATCACGTCATGCTATTCAGAGTCAACAAAAAATTATGCTATGCTTTTTCCATTCCTTGAATTGTATCGGAACTTATCCACTCAATTATGCCGCCCAATTCCACTTTTATCATCTTTTGTTTTTGTGTAATCGTAATCTTGTTATCCCTAACAACTGCCCGGAGCCAAGAGAGTTCTATTGGACTTCAATCCTGATAGATCGATCCAAGTAAGATAAAATGGAATCTTTGATTCTTGGCATAAAACAAAGAAGGAGCAAGTCTCCCCAATGGTAAGAGTCATGATGTTGATTGTAGATAGATTCTACATCGGCTGTCAAGAGACTTGCGATCGAAGCAGTCTCCTGGTCAGCGCTCAATATATGTATCCGAGAGGTCATAAAGAGGTAGGCCCGGTTGTTATGGCTTGGAGGGCGAGCCGCCGTTCACTGGATACTAGCCAGGGACATCGAAGAGAATTTGTATGATGAAGTCATCGAGTTCGAAAGCTGGGAGGAAGAGACGGACAAGTTGCGCGCGCTTCTTTTTCCTGTCTGGTTGTATGCGCTTTAAGATGGGCGCACTGCGCTGACGCAGCAGATCTCCGGCTTTGATCTTTATCCTTCTTTATCCTGGCCAGCTGGCTTATCCCGACTCTTATCAGATCGACTGTTGTAGTACAGGTTCTCTCGAAAGACATCCAAGGCGGATATGAACCACCTTCATACCCCACGCGGCAAACAAATCCTCCGTCGAGCTCATTCTCATCAAATCAGCCCCCGTCTTGAAGCTGAAGATCTCGTTGCATCTCTCTACATGCGTTTGGGTTAGGTACGATCACACTGAGTTTGGTTGGGTTACATATCTTTCCTTTTTTCCATCATCACAACTGTCTCTTCTCATCTGTCTCCCTCCTAACAAAAAAGAAGGCGAAAAAATATCTCTGTACTCCATATAATGGGTAGGGATGGGATGCTTGCAGTGAAGGAAGCTTCCCGCTTATCCAAACTGACCCACTGGTTTTCTCCCGAAAGAAGAGATTGTAAATATTCTATCTCTCTTCATCTAAGTATTGAATCCCTGCTTGGTCTTTACTTTTGTCAGAGAACAGTCTAGTAAACTGTTTTGGCAAACTGTTTTGCCGAAAGAATGGATGATGGTTGGGGTCCGGGAGTAGCCAACCTTGGATGGATAAATGTCTGCTGCAAGTTTTTTTAACTTGCTTGAATGCTAAGCCCTGGCCGGGCAATATGATGAGAACACGTTTTGAGTAAACCAATCAAGTAATTTTTGCTATCCAATCCTCTCAGACGATTGACCCTGCTTCAAGATATTTGAATCCTCAACATGAGGCTCTAGAATATAGGTCTACAAGTCTTATCGGGTTGTTTTAAGAAAAGAGGGACCATGTATGGTCATAGACACGGTGACGGAATCGTGGACGCGGCGACAAGCAGTCCACTGAGTCGAAGGGGAAAAGTGAGTTGGCGGGCAAAAAAGTGACATTTTTTTTCAGTGCCGATTGGCTTTATAAGGTTTGTTGGATGTTGGTTGTTTTGCCTTAATAACCTTATTCGGTGGTCATCGGACTTGGATGTATGCTGGAAGACGGATCCGGGACGGAGAGACAGATCCGGCCATCTCAATTCCCCGCACCCGACCTCGGACCGAGTTTCTAGGCCTGGGCTCGTACTGTAGCTTTTTTGTGCTCGAACTCCGACTGCCCATTTGTCTGGAGACCAACCGCGTCTCGCTCTGGATTACCACTCGTACAGCTCGTCCGGTCCTCCAAGAGGTGTGCTCTTACGCGATGTGAGTGTAGAACATCTATATTGTCCGAGTGCCCGCTGTTTGGATCAAGTCCACCAGGCTAATGCTGTTGACCATCGGGATGGATTACGCTTACAGGGGCATTCGCACTGCATTTTGTAAAGCAGACCAAGATCAACTCGCTTCGTTCCTCGCTGCTAATCCTGGCGACCTCAATGGAAACGCAATCTACAAGGAATTCGCTCAAACTGTGAGTGATCAGATGGAAAAATCGCGAAAGAATACCATACCTGTTTTTTTTCTTGACTGGCTGACATGAGTTTTCCCGTTCGATGACCTTCAACAGCATACCAACCACACCTGGCAGTCATGGCGGCACCACTATATCTCCAACTCAATGCTCATCAACGGAATCATTCGAAGGATTCGGAGACTAGAAAAAGAAGCGGCTTCCAAGAAAAATCAGCCTCCCTCGGATGGCCACACTCTGCCGAATGACAATCACAGGGAGCCAAACGAAACTCATAAACCACAACAAGAATCAGCAGCCAAGAAAAATCAGCCTCCCACGGACGGTCATACTCCCCCGGATGATTCTGACAAAGAATCAAGAGAATCGTCGACTGAAATCGTCATAAAACGGAGTCCCATGACCCGCAAGGGGAAGGAAAAGGCTGCCCATTATTTGTTAGACACCGATAGCGATTCTGATTGTCCAGGAACCGAATCAAACCCAGCTGATACCCCGCAAGACTTTGTCGTCCATCGGATCCCAACTGACCACCATAATCATTCGAAAAATTACGACCATGTAACAGACCTGGTATCCTCGCACCAACTAGGTAAAATCCGCTCGAATCCGTCTGTCAAATTAATCACTGTAAATCAAACAACTCCTCTCTTCAAACCATTCTTTCAATTTAGAACCCTTTTTTCATAGCTGATTTAAATCCTTACCGAACAATCATTATTCTTTGAATAGATGTCGCCCGACGAGGAGAAGAAATTGTGGCAGTTTGTCTCTACATATCCTGAAGGTGACATTCGGCTGTCTTTGACACTTTACGAAAACTACCACCTGCAGGTCAGCTACCCTTACTGATCTCCTTTTGTAAACACGTCCAATTCAATTATTCTTGTAGACTTCAGGGTACTCTAAGCTCACGTTTTACCTCCTTGAATATCATTATTATTGTGATGATGATTTGTTGATTTTTGTCAATACCTAGGCGCCTAAGTTTTCGGCCGAACAATATCGCACTTATTATCTCGCCCGTCAGAACAGAATTTGTCGCAAACGGCCTGCTTCTCGGGAGCCGGAAGGAATGACGCGTCCGAAAGTCAACAGACTTAATCCTTTGCCGGCTGATGAGGCGCGTCAAGGACTGCATCGAACTGACTCCTTGGACCGATCAGAAGGCCGACGAACGTTAGTCCTGAATGGCCGAGAAGACGAGGTTCCAAAACAGTCAGCCGACGATGTCACTCTGGACCTCGACACACTCTCTGTCTCTACTGGGTCCTCTGATGACCTAGAATTGGAGTATATTCTTACTTGTCCGGATTACCATAAAGTAGCTAGGAATATGAACACATCTGAAGAATTCTTACGGCCACTGTTGAAGCTTCAAGAAGATGTTTTCCGGCCTTTGGATTTCGAGATTCTGGATCCTGTCGTCCATCAATCTCGCCCAGTCAATCAACAATCAACTCGTGAATCTCTTCTGGCTGGCCAAGAAACCCAAAAATCTCTCCCGGTCTTGGAAGATCCTGGAAAGCAACCTCATTCGGCTGCGAAAGAACCAGCCCAGCAAGCATCTCGTCCGGCTGCCAAAGAACCAGCTTCTCGTCCGGTCGTACAACAAAAAGCCTCTCGTCCGGCCGTGCAAGAAAAAGAATCTCGTCCGGCTGCGAAAGAACCAGCATCTCGTCCGGCTCCGAAAGAACCAGCTTCTCGTCCGGTCGTACAACAAAAAGCCTCTCGTCCGGTTGTGCAAGAAAAAGAATCTTGTCCGGCTGCGAAAGAACCAGCATCTCGTCCGGCTCCGAAAGAACCAGCATCTCGTCCGGTCGTACAGCAAAAAGCCTCTCGTCCGGTTGTGCAAGAAAAAGAATCTCGTACGGTTGCTCGAGCACCAGAATCACGTCCGGATGTACAACACAAAGCCTCTCGTTCGGTTGTGCAAGAAAAACAATCTCGCCCGGTTGCCCAAGCACCAGAGTCTCGTCCGGTGGAGCAACAACGAGAATCACGTCCGGTCAAACAAGCAGGAGCATCTCGTCCGGTTGCAAAAGAACGAACATCTCTTCCGGTTACCCAAGCACCAGAATCTCGTCCGGTTGACCAAGTACGAAAATCTGGTCCGACTGTCCAAGGAGGTGCATCTCGTCCGGCTGAGCAAAAACGAGCCTCTCGTCCGGCTGTCCAAGAAGGTGCATCTCGTCCGGTTGTGCAAAAGACAGCATCTCGTCCGGTTGTTCAAGAGCCGAAGCAACAAAAACCACAGCCGGTCACCCAAGAACCAAAAGATCGTCCGGGCGAGCAAAAACGAGGATCTCGACAACAGGTTGTGCAAAGGAGAACCTCTCGTGCGGTTAATCAAGAGTCAAGGCAACAGATACCCAAGCCAGTCATTCAAGAACCAGAAGGAAGCGCCGTTTCGACCCCAGCTGAATCCTCTACATTAACTTCAGGCAAGACTTCACGGCGCAGTTCGTTCAATCCGCCCCAACCGCCCAAGTCCGTTCAGGAAGCAGTGGACCTATTGTGCGTGTTTCTGGAGGACTTTGGGGAGCTCTATACACCTCCTGAGGCCGCCCAACTTCTTCACCAATGTGGAGACTGGGCGGTGATGTTCGAGGTAGCCACGCTGAAAAAGCTCGAGCAAGAACTGAAAGAGGCTTCCAAGGGTCCCAATGGACAGGATGAGAACGAGGAGAATGCGGTCGATCAAGAATATCTGTTGAGGATTCAGAAACTGGTATGGACTCCGGAGGAAGATGATCTGGTCTTACTCCATCCTCTGCCAACTGATCCTGAATCTCAAGTCAAACTCAGACAACTCTTGGAGAAAAAAGGCCCTCAAGCTATCGAAAATCGCAAAGCTTTTCTACGCTCAACTATGTAATGCTTGATCCAATTTTCCCACACCTTGAGCACACTTGTTCTCTTACCCACCACCCATCTTCTTGATATCCCGTTGTTTTCTATGTATTACTCCCCGGAAGTCTTATTCTAGGACTCAAATTTGATACTCTCTCAACCTTCCTTCGTGTCTGGAGGAGTTTACATTTACCAATTCATAACGGAGATTATCATACTGGTCTCCTATTACCGCTTATATGAGATCCTTTTTGCATTCTTAGTATCTTTATCTGTTTGATTATTCCATTTAACTTATTTTTCTCGAGAGTTTCTTCATGAACTCTGCTCCATCATTTCTTTCATCCACAAGCGATTATGTGTCATCTAAGCAACGTGATCATTCTACGTTTGTTTGTACCTCTCATCGAAAGCCTATGTACACATGAGACGCCACGGCGCGTTTACCACCAGTGTGTTTTTCTAAATACTCCCCCCCCTCCCCAACAACAGCAAAGTTGGGATACTATCCAGGGAATGTAATTAGATTAAAGATCTAGACTTGCATGGCTTTTTTTTTCCTCTCCTCAGCCATTCTTCTGGCTTGATGTGGCTGATGATGAGCTCACTGGTAATGCTGGATGAAGCACTGGCAATCCGGCCTTCATGAAGCCCATGAGGTTCGTGCAGCTGGAAGGAGAAGTGGAGCCGAGCAGCCACTCTACAAATCAGTGAAAAGAGTTTGGAAGACCCCACATACTTGATCTCAAAGTCGCTCTGAAAATCGCTGGCTATAGTAGCTCGCGACCAAGCCCTCCAATTGGCTCCGGGCAAATCTTCGTCGCCAGCCAGCAGAAAAGACTCATGAGGACGTTTTTTCACCTTTAGTGGAGAGACGGCCTTGCATTCTTGGTCAAAAGCTCGATTGTACGTGTGCCAAAATTAGGCTGCCGTCCCGAGACTGGCATGTGAAGTTAAGTGCACTCCGCCATCCCATGAGCCCAGCCAGAGAAGCGCTCATCATCAAGGCGCTGGTGTCATCAATGATCCCATGCCATCTTTACTCGCCCGTCCTTTTTAGTAGCCCAATAGCGCATAAGACGACCAGTCTACATGTTATAAATATCATCGGTGTTGCGCACGTGCCGCTTGGGAGTCTGCTCTGAAACCTCGGGCAGTTCTGGCGATCATGAGACGCCAGTTACCCGGGTATTGTCCCTCCCCATGTGTTGTACATAGCAAGATCTTCTTGTCGTAAAAGCTGTCTCTTCCCTTTTTTATGTATACACATGCAGTATGATAAGGACATGATGTGATTTTTATTTTCTCTCTCTTTGTTTCGGTTACATAGCTCGCAAAGGTTCTTCAAACACTCTTTTGCGGAGGGTCTCATCTTCATGAGAAATCGCGATTCTTGATCGTCATTAACGGAGCCACCACTTTGTTTCTTTCAGGAACGTGGCCGAGTCTTGACTGAGCTTTGCCGGGGGGGACAAAAAGGCGTGAGGATCCGGAGAACGTGAGAGCCCTGCTGCTACTGCTGTGTGTGCCGGAAGAGCAACGGGGATATGAAGAGTGTGTCTTTTTTTTTTTTGGAGGGGGTTGGTCAGGGCAGATCTTGCCTTCACATCATATCAGCCCAACAGCCGCTTTCTTTCTGGGGAGACTAAAAAAGCAGTAACGCTTTAAGTCACTAATAGCCCAGCAACACACAGACCCCATCTGATCGGATAGCTCAAAGCCCATTAGGGAAAGCGAAAGACTTTCCATCTCGACTATACTGAGCACAAGAATACATCACATTCCGGCCTGCAATCTGTTACGTTTTTCGCGCGTAGAAAGATTCTCCTACTAATAAAGCATGGCTGTTTCATAAGCTATATATATCTGTGTACAACACTTCCCTTGGTTTCGACCCTTCAGACTCATCCATCCGCTCAGTCTTGAATAGAGCAAAAGGTCTCCCTTCTTAAATCCTCTTGGCCGTGTTGCTCTTCCCTGCTCTCTCTCTCTCTCCAAAAATTAACATTAACATTAAAAATCATCTGAATCGGTTCAGAAATAAGATATATATACCAGAAACAAAAACAAATCTCCTGTAAGTCTTTCCTGATCTTTCTTTTTTGCAATCCGTCAAGAATACGTGTTCATATGCTGACGAACAGCCCCTGAATTTTTTTTAACCGTTCCTTACAGATAAATAAATATTAGGACTTGACCGGTTTGACGCTCGATTCTAGGAAAACATCTTATTCTGCCAGGGCTGCATAGATAACTCATCTTGGAAGACAATCCCCATGGAGCAAAGGACTACTATCAAAAGGCCGTTCGAGAAAACCTCGGCTTCCTTGGAGATCGTCAGAGTCGCCGATCCTATTCACGTTCAAGTTCAGCCGCTTACTTCCGAAAGGAGATGGATTCCTAGTGCGTTCCCATCTATTCTATTCTATTCTTTTTTTTTGGTCTTCTTCGAAAATAATAACTTGAACTAATTTCACTGTCTTATCAACTTTGATTAATCTCTTATTTTTTTGTTAGAACTTTCTGAGGCTAAATTATTGCTCATCGCTTCAACTGGATTTTTCATAGGTTCCTTCCGTTTTTTCTGAAAAAATAAAATAAAACAAGAAACAGACCTGAAAAAAAAAAGAAACTGATTTTCTTTGGTTGAAAAAAAAAAAAAAAGATGCCTATGATCTATTCACGATCAACCTAGTAGTCCCTCTTCTGAACATCCAATACAACGGGAAACTAGGCTCGAAGCTAGGGAATGCAGCGCTTGCGGGCGGGGTCCTCAAAGCGGCGACGAACATTGGTTGCATAGCCGGCCAGATCCTGTTCGGGACGTTGGGGGATGTGTATGGACGGAGGATAGTCTATCCGGCGGCGCTGGGGCTGGCTATCATCGGCACTGTCCTCACCATTGCCGCGCCCAATTCGCTCGGCCCTCAAGGCGTCTTCATTTGGATGACGATCATGCGAATCTTGATGGGCGTGAGTGTTTTTTTGTTTCCCCTCATTGATCTCTCCGGCTTTGGGTAGTCTCTCAATCTTCATCTCTTCAACTGTCATCTTCGTTAGATTGGCATCGGGGGAGATTATCCAATGTCTGCTAGTGTCGTCTCTGATAGAGCTAATATCAACAGGAGAGGTCTGCTTCTCACCTTCACCTTTGCCGTAAGTATTTTTTTTCCTCCCCCGTTTTTGTATTCTTTGAGACCAGGAATATATCCGAGTATGAATTTGATCACACCTGACCGCTTGGCTTCCTTTTTTTGTCAATTCTTGAAGATGCAAGGCTGGGGAAACCTAGCGGGGGCCATAGTGTGCATGGTAGTTTTATCAGCATTCAAAGAGTCGATCCAAGGGCACGGGGAGATCGGGCATTTCAATGCGGTCTGGCGGCTGATCCTGGGGGTCATTCTGGTGCCTGCTCTGGCAACACTCTACCAACGTCTGCGACTCCCCGAATCGGATCGGATGACGGAGGTCTTGAAGGAGCGAAAGCTTAAGAAAGCCTTCGAGGGCGTCCAGGGAACTCATATCATGGCCGATATCCTCGACCAAATCGGCAATAAAGAGGCCTCGGCAGGCGTCCAACAGAGCTTCCAGAAATCAAAACTTTCTGCCCTCAACGAATTCGTAAGTACGGTTTTTTTTTTCTGCTCTGACAAATCTTCATCGAATTCAAGTAGAGACTCATTTCTTTTTTTTTTTTGAACCCTCTCATCTGTTTTGCACCTATCAGCAAGAATATTTCAGCAAATGGAAGCACATGAAACACCTATTTGCGACCACTGCGTGTTGGTTTCTACTGGATCTGAGCTTCTACGGAATCGCATTGTAAGCGAGTTTTTTTTTTCTACTTGGGCCGTACTAGAGCAGCAGCGCAAGCGCCCATGAATTTTGCAACCAATTGATCATTCCCAATGCCCCCCCCTCAGGAATCAATCGATGGTGATTGCTGATATCGGCTACGATCGGGCCGTCGAGCCCTGGCAAAACGCATTCGATAACACTAAGGCTAATCTTATCATCACCGTTGCTGGCTTCTTACCCGGTTATTAGTTGAGTATCGGTTTTTGAGCTTTCAAAAAAAAAAAAGTTGTTCAAATCTGAAACCACTGTCCAGCTCATCAACCCAACAATGCTTAAACATCAAAATCGTAGTTTCACGATGTTTTTCATCGAATACATCGGCCGAAAGTCAGTCAAATGTCCTCCCTATATTGTCTGAAATCAACGTGCTGACTTTTTTTGGGGGGGTTCAATCAGACCCATCCAGATCGGAGGATTCCTGATCGAGGGTCTCCTACTAGCTGTTGTCGCTGGCGATTTCAAGAGCCTTTCCACAAAACCTGCCGGGTTCCTGGTTTGCTTTATCCTCTTGCAATTCTTCTTCAACTTTGGGTCAGTTTTCCATCCTGGAATCCTTCCCCTGTGTAGAGAGATCTCTCTTCCCTCTGAACAAATTACCTTTCTTTTTTCTTCTTCCCATTCACTCACTCATTCACTCACTCTCTCTCTCTTTGACAACCTCGCAGTGCCAACACAACTACCTTCGTATACCCTGCAGAAATCTTCCCAACACGTTCGTCCAAGCTTTTTTATTCGCTAGTCAAAGCCAGGTTTCAGACTCCTCACCTTTCGCACATTTTGTCTTTGCTCACAGGCGTTCGTGGCTTTGCTAGTGGAATCTCAGCCGCTTGCGGCAAAGTGAGTCTTCTTTTCCCATTCGTCCCCAACTACATCCCTCGAGCCATTCTAACCACCTGTAACTTATCTCTTATCCCTGCTCCTCCCTAGATTGGCGCTGTGATCGCCGCTTTATCGTTTGGTGAACTCTCGGAAGTCATTGGGACTAACGGTGTTTTGTGGATCTTGGCGGTGAGTTGTTTTTCTTTTTTATAGTGACTGGCTTGGCAATTTTTTTAGACAAACAAACAAAAATCACTGATGGCCGGTAACTCGAATTTCTATGATATAACAGGGAACTAGCTTTCTTGGGGCAGTGATCTCTCTGCTGCTTCCAGAAACTAAGGTAACTTTTTGAATTGCTGTTTTACTTTATCGAATGTGACAGACACTTAATTGTGAATGAATTGTTTGGTTTTTTTGTTTAGGGATGGGATGCAGATGAAGCGGATGCCTTCGAACAAGCCCAACAACTCTAATCGAATCCTCCTCCTCATCCATTCCGACGATCGCCTTTCACACTATTTCTTGATCGTTCAAGGTCGATTTCTATTTCCCATTGAACAACAAAAAAAATACGCTATCTATAAACTTCCCCAAAACTTCCAAAATTAATTTAAATCTTAGAGTCAGAAAATCAAGTCCAAGATGGTCGTTTTTTTTGTCGTTATACGCGCTTTGTAAATATTCTCCCCTGATCCGTCAGCTTGTATTGCACAGATTGTTATCTTTTTTTTTTTTTCTTTGGATGTTATACAGATTAAACTTCAAGATTGATTCGGAAAGACGTTCAGAGGCCCAAGTTTCAAGGAACAAATTTCAGTTAATTCTCCTTCTTCTTCTTCTTCTTTTTTTTTTTTTTTTCTTCTTTCTGTTTTTACAAAAACAAACAATTCTGGGGAGTTAATAGGGGGGGAGGAATTGTAATCAGACGAGTTCACTTCCTCCGATTGGAAGATTTTCTACGGTCAGGTTTATCGTACAGTTCGACATAATCTTGAGGGTGATTAGTGGGGGCTTGAACGGGATTTTTGGTGGCTCTCTTGACGACTTTAGTTTTGAGATCGAGCCTCTTCTTCTTGATCGAGCCTTCATCCACATCCATCTGCACATCTTCTTCGTCTAGTTGTTGTTCCGCTTCATCCTGGATCAATGAGTACGGCTTATTCTGATTCTTGTTGAGAAGACTATTTTGGTCTGTTGATGAGCGTTTCCGTTCGTGTGTCGGGAGGATCGTGGGTTCGGGTCTGTTGAACTTGCTTGAAGCGATGGCGGCTCGGACACTGTTAGAATTCGAAGACAGGCCCATCTTCTCTTTCCGGCTCGGACGCTTGTAAAATTTCGCTACATTTCCATCCCAATCCGAAATCATAGTACTTTGCGTAAGCCAAGGTTAAAACTGCGTAGGAATCTTGTCGATGTTCAGGATCAGAGCCTAGAGGGAAGCTTACCCGACTTGCCCATCTTCGAGATCACAAGGCAGGCTTTTCGTCCGTGTTTCCGAGTCTACCAAGGTGGGCCTATGTTGTCCTTCCAAGACAAAACGTGCTTATATTACTATGAGCGCTGCGATGGTGATTTTGTCCGTTCAGCTTTGTTGGGAAGTGTGCTTTGGCTCTCGACAAGACCGTCGGCCAGAAATTATTTATTGGAATTGAATATGCATACCCCCGACACTATTCCAAGCCTCTCGTGGAAACAAAACAAGCCCCCCCCCTCCTAACTTAGAGCATTCGCATTGGTTGGGTTAAATTGCCGGGTTAAGTCGAGTTAACCCGACTAAGCCCGTTTGCGCACTCGCATTGATTCGAGGTTAACAGCAGGTTAGTTAACCAAAAGTTTGATTTCAGGTTTGCGGTCGCTAAATTTAGCGATTGCTAACCAGAAATTTAGCGATTTCGCGGGGAGTTGTCCTCCAGGGGTTTGTTAACCCGGACGGATGCGTTTGACGACAGTAGGCTAGCAAACCCCGACCTCCCACCCAGGTTTCCTAACCTAAAACTTAACCAGACCAATGCGAATGCTCTTATCTTGTATGTAAAGTCCCACCCAGTTCAAGCGGCTGGGCGTGCAGTGGAGGACTTCCCGTCGTCCAAATCTGTTAATTTGAAAGGACATCCTAAACATTATTTGCTGGCAAAAATTGATCAAAATCAAGTTTTCATCAGCCAATAGAGTTTAGGACCCCCTTCTAGATCAAGCGATTTAGGCAACAGGAAGTCCTCCAGTAGGTGGAATTCGCAGACTCAACACAAGCCACTGTTTGCTAAAATCTACAGCAGTCCGTGAATTCTGTTCTGGAGTGCTCAGATGTAGGGACTCCTACGGACCACGGTCTTGTCTATTGTCTCCATGCTAACACCAACATGTGAAACTTGACACTTAAACACCACTCACCATTACAGGGAAACACCTGTCTGGCTGTTTAGTCACAAGCATTGCAGTTTTTAATTGCCTGAAAATAAGGGCCGCGGTGCAGTTTCTCTGAGAGTTTTTGCCATTTTGTTAATGGCAAATATCTCTCCATTACCATTGCTGTCAACCTTAGAGACACTCTGGTGTGTCCAAAAGGTCTCAAAACCAGTGTACAAAATGCATTGTAATATTGGGATTGTTAGTTAGAAGGAGATGTGCATAATGAATTATTTGAAATGACACATGTAACCCAGAATCAATACAAATAGAAACTATGTTCATGTATGATTACAATGCTTGATTATAGAGTTCACATGAAAATGGATGTCCAGCTTGGATATAAAAACTACTTCATGTTGGATTGAATCTTTCTCCCTCAGAAAAAAGAACCAATCAAAATATTATATCTTATTTTTGAAATACTCATTAAAAACAGTAGTAATACTTTACTTACTTAGATAAACTCAGCAATGGTATTTATATACCCTTGAGGTCTTTATTTATCTAAGAATTTTATTACATTTGGACTAGTATTCCTAAATTAGATATGGTTGAGATTGAATCTGATAACCTTACCTTCTTACTAAAATACTGAAATCCCCTAATCAATCAAGTTAATGTCTCTACACTATCATCAGACTCATAAAGAATCAGTAGTATTAAACTGAAATATAATCTATAACAAATGATAATAAAATGAAGCAAGAATAAAATGAATTAATATAACTGGGTTTGATGTTAATAAACCGGTTGAGTCTCTTGACCAATGAAAAATCATGATTAAAAACAGGTAATATTACTGAAACAAGAACCAGAACTTTTTAAAATAAAAAGACAAGAATTAGACACATCAAAAAAACAATAACATCAAAGAGAAACAAATAATGAATAAGAAAGAGTGAGAAAGCATACCAAGATGAGATTTATAGTTGATGGGAAGCAGAACAGACAGGCTTAGGTATATTAGATCAAAGAGAGAGAGATAGTAAGAGCTGAGAATCAGAAGAGAAAAACAAGATGAGTTAGAGCTGTGGATTCGGTTTCTTTGACCCAATGAAGAGATTGGTCAGCTATAATTTTCTCACCAAATTGGCAATAGCCAGGACAAGATGTTGAGAGAAAGAGTCGGAGCGATTAGGAGTGGTGAAGATTGAACAGAGTAGAAGTTGAGATGGCGTCGAGATCGGTATGATTGTTCAATGAGAGAGGACAGAGATAGAAGGTAGAGAAATGAAGAGAAGATGATGCGGATACGGAAGGGGAAGTAGAAGTTTGGAATGGTGGATGAGTGTTAGGTGTAGGAGCAAAGAGCCAAGCAGTTGAGGCTGGGGAAGTGAGCGAGATCGAGTTGATCGAGTGGTATCGAGGATGTTTTGTTGTCAATAGACTGCTGAGGAAAAAAAGAACTTGGATCGGATGGAGAGGGCGCCTTTTAAGGAAGTGTTTTGGTTGGCTGAGTTGTGGTTTTGAACGACGCGCCGGAGTTCTGATGTTGGAAGATGATGGAGATGGAAGAAGGGAGAAGTGGAGATAACGAAAAGGGATGGAAACAAGAAGAAGTGAGATGAAAGGAGAAAATACAGGAGAGACCGTAGGGAGACCGGAGGAGCGGGGGAGGAGCGGAGCGGATCAAGAGTTCCGAAATTCCAACAAATCATCACAATCACATCTATCTGATCGCATCCTATTCCTACCTTTAGGAATAGAGGCCTAGGTATTTGTGTGCTGGCTTAACCATATTCTTAACAGCAGAATTCAAAAAAGTTAAATAAAAGAAACAACTTTTTATCCTTCTTTTCATCTTTCCCTTCCTCTTGTATTTAGTTTTTTTATCTTTACCATAGTAACACATTTATTACTACCCCCAATCTTGTCCAGCCAGACCTCTACGCAAGATCAACAGCTGAAAATTGCACCTTTCTCTGGAAACATGTTATGCCCTGTTGAGCCATTAGAACCACAAATATCTTGCCTTCCATCCTTGGCTTCCTGGCCCATACAAAAAGCCTCTCAAAGCTAATTATTTCTGGGATCCAGGTCATTGGTAAATCCAAATACAGGAATATACAAGTGTCCCAGATCCACAAAACCATGGACTACAAAGCTTTTTGGATTTCATGGAAATCCAAGGCCAGCAGGTCCAGTTTTTTTTGGGTGGTAGGCAAGATCCACAAAATTCTATTGATCCAACAGGACATGGAAACTTCCCCATGAATGGTGGGATCACAATGGAGGAAAGTTTGCCACCACCAAAATGGCAAAAAACTCCCTCTTTATCCATTCAATATCCATACATTCTATAGTGGATAACATAACAGAGGTAAAAAATGAAACAGAATTAAAAGGATAAAGTGATGGCAAGGCGGTTACAGTTGCCATAGCAATAAAACCACTGATTCCCTTATGATATTGTTGTGTTAGCATTATAGCCAAAATAACTTCCCATTGTTGTTTTTAGGCTTGGGCTTGTGTCAGGCTAGTAGCAGTTCTAACTTCTGACAACTGATCTATGGTCTGAGAACTTAAGAGAAACTCCCCTGCACATAGTAAATTGAGGTGGTAAGCCCCATTTACCAACCCAACTCCCAAAACATCCCAGCAGTGTGGCACCAGGAAAAAGAAATGCTCACTAGATGGTAGGTGACATCATGTAACCTTGACCACTGCTCCTCTGTAGCTCCAACTCTGCTACAGACCAAATACAAGGGACCCTTTGTGCACTACAGAGGGCTGAGGAATAGATGAGATGGGTATGTAATGGGTAGCATGCTGAAATTAGGCTGATGCCACTTGTCCTCATGTTATCATTGTTTTTTTTTTTTTCCTGGTGCAGGTGCTATACAGGGTTGCAAACAACATCTTGGGTCCCAGAAGCATAACAAGGTGGTAGATCTAACACCTCTGTACTGCCCCTCATACCACCCTCAAATGTGTGAAACCATCTCTCCAACTTGTGAACCATTCATTTTCCAGACTTCACATTCATTGATTATCAATATCCCTTACTTAACACTCCATTCCATGAACATTTAGTCTCCAATTTATTTCCATCCAGTGCCGCACAGTAGAGATGGCCTCAGGGTATCTGTTGCTGATACCTGCCAGGCCCAATGGATACCCACCAGAGGATTTGGATTTGGGTGCAGATGCCCCATTCTCCTTGCAATCCTGGCGGGTATCTGGGTATCTCCAGGGATACCCATCAGAGGGACCCGGCCTTGATACCTTGTACAGTCTCAAGGCCGAGAGGGGTTCCTCTTGGCCTGGAGACTGTACCGGCTCAGGGCCAACAAGGCACAACCTTGTTGACTGGAAGGTTTTCCTTATGGGTAGGGTTAACACTTCACACAAAAAATGGTCAGTAGCACAGCACAGTGGTGGCAGTGGTATGCTAACACTACAGAAAAAAAGAGCCACTGTTAGCACTGCTACACTAACACTAAGTGGCCCTGTCTTGTAGTGGCCTGCTGCTGTTACCATCCACTGTGGGAGGTTCAAGATCATATAGGTGGGGCAGCTGATGATATATACAACAAGAATATGGGCCCAGAGTTGAGTAGCTAACCAGCTTGATAAATGAACAAACTGGATCGAAAAGTTAAAAATGAAATATGGGTAGGAATTCCAACAGGCAATTAGGTTGAGATGGTTTGATAAGCTTGATTATTTCCCCTTCCAAGAGATTTGGTTTCTCAATAATTAATGTTTCTTTATTTACATGTGTACAGTGAAAGATGCCTTAAGAAGAGCATGCCCTTCTACATAGTTGTATAGTTACTTGCCTTCACAGAGAGATTGTTGCAGAATCTTCCCCCCAACTCTTTTTTTTTTTTTTTTTGGTATGGTTAGAAATCCTTCTCCCAAGGTATAGGATGCTGATCAGTGTTTGCAGATGGGATTGATTGCCTGTGTGGACACTCTTGAATTGTAAGTCCTAGAGCAGAAACACAATCACATGATGATAAATGCATTTTATAATACAACAGCTTCATGATCAGGCTTGAATAATTTGTTCTCTTCTAAACCTTTGAGACTCCAATAATATACTGTCACACACTGTCACCAACAGTATTGCAGTACAAAGTAGCCACTTTAAGCCTATGATTACTCACAGCTCCAAGTTAGAGGTATCAATTGTTGCACCTCTTTTTGGCATTTGCCTCACGCTCTCCCTGTTTTTTTCGTTTTGTTTTGTGTGATCTTCTCACCCCAGCAGCTTGTGGAAAGATGATAGATGAGTGGTTCTATGTGAATTCTTGGGAGATTCATGCAGAAGTCGAGTTGAAGATGTTCTTGGAAAAGGAGTGATTCCAGCTGACAACTTTCGAACATGAGAATATCTTTCAGGAGCCTCGCCTTGGTTTTGATGGTTTTGATGGTTTTGATGGTTTTGTTGGTTTTGATGATGATGATGATGTCATGATTGTCCTAAACAGACAGAACTAGACTAAACCATTTAAATTCCTTCATGATCAGCAGTTTTAAACTCACTCACCACTTGGCTTAACCCAACCCCACTCATCACCATCGGCCAGCATCCAGCAAAGAAACCACCCAAAAACCAAAAAAAAACGAAAAAGATGAGGAACCAAGAACTACTAAGCAACAAGAAGAAGAGAAAAGTACCATCAACAAACCAACAACAACAACAACAACAACAACAACAAACGACTCCAAACAAACCAACAACCTTCACTTTCCAACAAACCACATCAAAAACAACCAACAACAACAACAACAACCTCGATCTACTACTTGCTCAGGACGAACAACTCAAACTATCATCATCATCCTCCCTAGTCGACCCAATCACACTGGCTAAAAGTAATATAAACTACTCTCTATCCTCCAACTCAATCACAATCATACAAAAACAAAAACGATTGCTGACACTCATGACCTAAACAGTCCTATCTTCTCACCATGTCAGGATGAAGAAAAGACCAATCAGCTCACCAAGACACTACGGGAGACATCTCCATAAACTAAGCCAATCTCGTTCATCGATCGATCAACTCCAACTACCACTAGACCACAACACCAAAACAACACCAACCAGCAAGCTCAATCAACCAAGACCTCAACCTAAGAAGATCAACAAACGATCAATCAACCCTAATCACCCCAAACAGCTCAAACCACCCTCATCTCGCCCTCAGCCTAACAAGTCCACTAAATCTTCCCCACTCAAACTTCCCATCTTACCTAACCTCTACGATCCCCGTCTACCTATCGACTACATCTATCCTCACAGGTTTCCAGATTCTAACGACCTATCGAAAATCAAAAACCTCATTCCAGAGTACGTTGACCCACTGTTTGGAGTAGTCAGTAAAATCAATCAAACTGTTCCTAACCGTTTCCTCTTTTGTTTTTGCATCAGGCCTCAACAGAATACAGTCAGCTTCCTACCATCTGATTATAATGGTCAATTTACGTTCAGGTTGGAGATGCACCAAATCTGTCAACGATTGCTAGGCTTACATCTGGCAATCAGTAACGACAAGAAGAACCGGGCGGTGCAGATCCAAGAGGCGATGAGGATTGCGATGGAGAGGTTGGACCGAACTATCGGTCCGGAATCCCTCCAACTAGACCAGGCTCAGCAGGATCGGGCCCGGATGGCAAAGATCGAGCCCGCTCGACGGCCGGCCAGTCAGGCACCTCCTTCCACACATCCCCCGATGACCGACCAGCGATTCCCTCCAGAGCACCGACGCCGCACCCGTCGGTCCTCATCCTCGACGACTGACCACGGGCCCTCAGGGCCTCCACCGACCGAGCCCCCACCACCACTTCCTCAGCCGGCTCTCAAGTCCCGAGTCCCAGGTCCTCCGACCGGTGGGGCCCAGGTGGCCGGGAATCCGGACGTCCGGGCGGGACAGGGTTTACGGAAGAACAAGAAGAAGGGGAAGAAGAAACGATCGGCACATGCGAATGCCAACAACATCCACCATCGGGACAATTATGTGCCCTCCCGACTGCCGACGAGCTACCCGGTTCGGTCGGGCACGGGACGGGGGTTCGAGGAGGAAGGGATGCCCCGGGACTGGGCGCGGATCCGTCTAGAATACGAAGGCCGCCTGGGGCGAGGGTTCATCGACCCGACGGCGGCCGGGCCGGACGAGCCCGGGGGTGAGGCCCTCTCCTCGACGGGGGCCCGGAAGGCCCATTGCCAACTGGGCCGCTCACCGATCGCACGCTTCTTCGTCGAGCCAGACGAATGGATCTGTTCCTTCTGCGAATACGAGCTCTGGTTCGGCGATCCACTCGGGCTGATCAGAGTGATCAAGAACCGCAAGGATGTCCTCCGTCGTAGGAGGAGAGCTAAGGAACGGGCGGCCAGAGCGGCCAGTGGGATCCCCCCTTCGACCACCCATCCCCCTCCTCCTACTTCTACTCCTCATCCTCCTGCATCTGCTCCTGCTCACCATCAAACTTCTTCATTGCCTCCTGCTCCGGCTCACTCCACTACTCCATCCTCAGTCGAGAGTAATAAGATTCGGAAGAAGTCGAAGAATAATAACTTCCCTACCCTCTCTCTTCCTCAACGAGCTGCTCAGCAGCAGCAACAACAACATTCTAAACCTGTCACCTCTGCTAGTCCTTCCCCTGCCTCCCGTCGTCGTCCAGCTCTCGCTCCGAACGAGAACTACGGGGACCAGGATGATGATGAAGAGGAGGAGGAGGAGGATGAAGAGGATGAAGGTGAAGAGGAGGAGGAGGAGGAGGAGGAGGAAGATGAAGCAGAAGATGAGGAGGAGGATGAAGAAGAAGGGGAGGAGGAAGATGATGACGAAGAAGAAGCAGATGATGATCCGGTATCACAATCTAACAACCCTTCAGCTCGCTCCGCTCATCCCCCTCTTGCTCACAAATCTCCCCCTGATAAACTCCCCTTCTAATCTCATTTTCCTTCCTCTTCTTCTTCTTACCCTTCTCCTCATCTTCATTCTTCATTCTTCATTCATCTTTATTATTCATTCTTCATCAGCGTCATCGTCATCGTTGCCTTCCACTCAAATCTTCCATTCTTCTTTCCAAATTGAAGATCGTTCAAGTTTACACAGTCTTTCTTTGTTTGCTGTTTGGTTCTCGTTTGCACTTTCTAGCTTCTTTCCTCTCACTTTCTATTTCTTTGTTCTGTTCTGTCATAAGAATTTCTTCTTTCTCCTTAGTTACTTCTGATCTTTTTATTATTATTTATTCTTTTGCCAACTTTTTTTTTAAAAAAAAAGGTTAAGGTTTTTCTTCTTCTTTTCTTTTCATGCTTCATTCCATCAATTATTGTGTTTTGAAGAATGCTTGGACGGATTTGCAGGATCTGCACTCGAAAATCCTGGATTTTCACCGTTTAAGTTTGGATTTTTATTTTATTTTTTCTCTCTAAAACCCATGATCTCGTCATGGACTGCCACAGCGGCGGCCAGCCTCCGTCGCTCTTGATTCCCAATCCAGGTGGCCAGCTGCGTTCAAACCATTCCCCCAAACCACCAAAAACGATCAACCAATCGCATTGGCGGCTCAACGATTGGTTTGGATAAAAAATCTCAGTCAGTATTAGTAAATTTGGCCCTCAAACTGCTTGGGGCCGATGGGGTTTCTGATGATTTTGCCTGGTCCTCTCAACATGTAGGCAGGAAGATTGCTAGATACTGATTTTTCCCCCCTGTTTGCAAAAAGAAATCATGCCAGGATTCTCTATATCCTAAGGTCCAATTGGCCCTCCAACAAGTCACTGCCCCTAAAGGTTCGCTGATTGTGATCGCTAACGAAGGTGATACCGGCTTGAGTCTTGACCGCCGCCGACTCCACTCGGATCTTGAGGGTCCCTCAAACGGTCGATTGCTTGCAAGGTCTCTTGACTATCATTCCTATGCAGTTGCTTAGCTACCACATCACTATGTATGCTCTCTCTCTCTCTCTCATCAGCCCATTGTCTTGGACCTTAGGTCTTCGTCTCTATCCCTTTCTATCATTGCTTTCTAGCTTGAGAGGTGTTGACATCGACTTCCGTAAGCTTCTTTTTTCTTCATGTTCTATAGAAAACTAAGTCTTTGGCATCGTCTAACTTGAATTGGCTTTTATCTCCTTTGAACTCCCCCCCCCCTATACACTTGATATGTTATCGGCCCAAATCTTGGCCAAGACTGTCACAGTTGAATAGTCAATCATAGCAAAAGAAATATGACTACTAACCTAAAAATAGCTCAGGTTAACTAGATCAAAAGAACATTGTGATTTTCCTCCCTTTTTTGTATTGATCAGGGTGGTGATTGGTGGGGGAACTTGAGAAGTTGAGGAGATTGTTCTTATGTTTAGTGTGCAGAAACCTTGGATTTTTCATCAGTGAGATGCAACCCAGGTCAAGAGAGACTGATCTCAAGTCAGAATCAGTCGGTAGAGGAACCCTCAATCCAGAATTGATACATATCTGCAGCTCCAAGTTGGAGACTGGTCAGTAAGCTCTTGGATTAAAGGTCCATGTAAGTTCATCAAATTGGTGTCAATCTCATCCAGATCGTTAAAATATTGAACTAGAGCCTCACTCCAAAGAGTGACAAAAAGTCAATCCGGTGGTCAATTTGGATCCGATTCAAATTCTTGTTCATCACAAGATTGTTTAGAGAATAATTTATGGACTAATTTCTCATTATGATTGTTTGTTCATTCAAGGATAAGAGAAGTAATAACATTCAAATCATGAAGGAGCTGCAGATAAACGACAAATTTGGGTACAAAACCAACACCAATCAGTTGACCCATGGTTATTTGATGTGTTTGTAAAAGATCGATGAGGAGATAACACATAACAATCCAGAGAAATGACCAAGTGCTGAAAAAACAAGATGTGATTTGGATGTCAATAAGAAGACACCGGTGGTACAAAAACAAAGATGAAAAAGTCATGAAAATTTTTTAGTTTGATGGGGAACAGGACTCACAGTGCCTGTAAGCCTTTTAGCAAAGATCAACCATCATAACATGAGTGATCGTTTGTCCAATTGCCAATTCTGGGCTGCCGGTCTGATGTAATACTTGCAAGGCCTGCACGTGTTGTTGAGATGCTACAAAGCTGAGTTTGATTGTTCCATGAGAAGATATCAGCTCTCTTCGTATGACAAAATGACTACAGAGAAATAAAGAGATCAACTTTTGGATGTCGGAAAACCACGGAGTCCTTCAATCGCCATTTGGATTGCGCGAGCCTTGGTGGATGCATCGTACAATTCAAAAATTGTCTAGTGATGTTTTGGTTGGGATAGATGCCAGGATGATGGGGGGGGGGGGGTCGGGATTGGTGGGGCGTCGATGTTGGTATCTGCTTGATCACAGCGAGGTGAATCAAACCAGAGCTGTGTGGCAAAAACCAGCAGCTGAAACTGCTGCACAGCAGCATAACAACATAACTTTAGTTCTTGGAAAACTTCGGTTTGTCCAAGCTTTGTTCAAAACACAATAAGTCAATCAAAATTAAGTATTTCATCCATTATGGGTTAAGGTGATAAAACTTTTTTTTTCTTTCTTATCATCATTTCATTTCATTCTTCATGTCAATCTTTTTTTTTCAATCTTTTTTTTTTTTTCATCATCATCATCATCAACTCCAACAACATGAAACACATAGAAATCATTCAATCATTCTTTTTTGCATACATACAATGTGCAAGCATAGAAGCAATCTATAGAAGAAACTCCTCTCTTTTTTCTCTCAGATCATCTTCCAACAACAACACAAAATCAAGTCAACAAAGTATGCAACAAACTTCCATTTGACAATGTTTTTAATCTTTTCTGATTACGAGTTACATAGTCTGATTGTTACTGTTGCTATTGCTGTTGCTACTACTGCACCGACTCACTTAACCTACTCTTTCTACTTTTTCTTTTTGCCTTTTTGTTGGTTGTTGATGACTTGCAAGAATCTTTAGTCATTATATTTTGAATAAATTACCATTTTTTCATCTCATTTTTTTTCATCTTCTTCTTTCATCCTCAAGAATTTCAGTATATATAAACACTATCTATCAATCTACATCTGACCTTGTATCAACATTAATAAGCAATTAAACAGATAGATAGTTTTGTAAACAGAAGATAAGAAGCACAGAGGTACATAGATGGAAGAAAAACCTACTATGTAGTGTACTGCAAATCAAATTTTTCATTTTAATGGTAACAGGCTCTTGTGTGGATAAACAACTGATGAGTTTTGGAGACACAAGAACTCTTAAGGCCGAGCTGAGGGATGTTGACCAGACCAACAGCCAACCACGCTTCCTTTCAGCAGTCTGAGAGCATGGTCCGCTGATTCTTTGGGAGGTGTTGCTCTAATCTGGGGCTTGCCCCTCCAGAGGCCAAATATCCCTTGTTTGCTGGGGGCCATTCTAAACCAGTCATTGAGGGACAGTGACAGGTGTTGGGATTTTGTCTTGATTCATTTCCTCTCTTCTAAAATTTCTTACTTCTGCCTCTAGTCTTGAATGATCAATAGGATATGTCTTGAATGATCATTAGGATCTACTCCATAAACACTATGATAACTCCTCCTTTTTAGTCTGACTGATCACCTTGTTATGAATTCAAACCCCCTAGCTTGTAGTCGTAGAACCCTGACTAAGGAGGGCCTGATTCCTCTCATGTGTGTCTGCTTATCTACTAGGTTGTAGATGCTTCATTTCTGGTGTTGGTTGTTGTGCCCTCTTCTTTATTCTGGATTATTCGATTTGTTTCTATTTGTTTTCTTAATATTCATTTTTCTTCACAACCACAGCTCAAACTCCTGTATCTAGTCTATTTTAAACTAGCCTAGTACAAGAAATTAAAAACCATTGGTTCTCAGCAACTTCTCCTCATCAAAAACTGTGTTGGACCACTTTTTTGTCAGAATAGCCCCTCAGGGGATGAGACCGTAGCGAAGCGCTACAAGAAGTCTACACATGGTGAAACTAAACAAAGTAAACCATGAGACTTAGAAGCCTAAATATCCAAGACATGAGACTTACCTCAGCCTTTCAGTTTCAGATCCAAGCGATGAAACCCGCAACCACAGAACATGGGAACAAAGCCACCTCCGGCAAGTTACCAACGGCAGCGGGAAAGAAGACGCACAGAGAAGGGGACATGAGGCAAGCTTGTGAGTACTTAAGCAGCCCTTCTCACCAGGCAAGACAATAGAACTAACCATTCGTCCCCATTCACAGAACATTAGCACACAGAATAACTAAACCAATCGGTCCAGAGCTACTCTCTCGTATAGAACAAGACAAGCACGAGTAAGTCCGATATGGTCTGTGTGCACTGTTCAAGCATAAAGACTAATAGCTAACCTGACTGATCGGATAACAGAACCCAATCCGACTCAGGCAGCAAAATCCAACGACAATAGGATAAGGACAACCTATCCGTCAGAAAGACACAAAAAGTGAATAAAAGAACTCCTCACTCATAGAAGAGACTGGACAAGCAGACACTGACCATCTGCTTGTTTCGTACTTAAAACAGTCGTCATTATCCTTCAACAATCATCTCTCACTTTCACCATCCTCCTTCATCTCTCATCTCAGTTTCCATCTATCAACAAGCACCTCACTGCATCGGCCAACCCGATCAGTAATAACATAAGCCAAGAAGCAAATCGATTGATTCTGCTCTTAGGTAAAACTCTTTCACTCTAAGCATCTTTCAACCCGCATACTTTGTACATAGCAATAAGAAACAAGAGACCTAACAGAAATGAAATCACTCTTAGTTGTTTAAAATCTTACATTTTTGCCCCTCAAAAAAGTGACACTAGAGTCTGTTCAAAATCCGTTCCTCTTCTTCAAAGCCTAAGTTTTAACAACAGGTGCAATCACTGCAAAAGGGGTTGTATTGGTTACAACCCCCTGTGGTTGAGTCAAACAGAGGGCACCCATTTGAAATTGGTCCGGGAGACCAATTTTATGTTGGCTGGGCCCACCAATACATTATAACAAAAGGGTCATGCATTGGTGGTCCTGGCCAATATAAAATAAGTTGGGGAGACTGATCTTTTGTCGGCTGCCTCCAAACAACCTTACCACAGGGGGTTGTAACCAATACAACCCCTTTGGCAGTGAATGGCCAGTTCAGACCAGCTGTATTCAGAGTGTAAAATCTATTTGACAGGTGGTCCTGTATATCCATCAAGACCTCAATGGCAGATTTAGACTGGCCATCAACAGATATGGATTTGGCCAATGGAGGGGATGACTTCTTGGAGGTGGAAGCCCAAAAGTGAAACAGCAATGTCTAAGTATCTTGGG